TATACAGATAGTAAAACTGGAGATTCCCCTTCCCACCCCTACCTGGCCCCAGAACACTGTTTGCGGGCACTGCAAGTGGCAGCACGTGGTGGGCATTTTACTGCCTGCCACCAGAGGCTCCACTGGGGCTCAGCCTGCTGGCAGAGGCCAGCAGTGATAGGGGATGGCAAAGGTTTCCCTACCACACTGCCCCAGGGCATGCAGCCCCACTGGGGCTGCAGAGTGAAGGTTGCCCTATGCTGGAGCAAGCTCTGGCATAGGAGGCAACAACTAGCCCCAAAGCCTCTGGTTCAGGGATGCAGCGGGGCACATGGGTCCCCACTGGGCCAGCTCCAACACTGAGGCTCGCTCCAGCTGCAGGGAATAGAGGCCTGTGGATTTGGTGCCTGGATCATAGAATGCACTGATCAGGTGTGAGCTGTGAACTGATTGGTAAATGGACCAATCAGCCATAGGATTGAAACTGGGCCAATCAGACAGGTAGATGGGGGACCCTGGAGGAGGAGATAAGGGAGGGGAGAAGGTAGCTTGCGAACGTGCTCACTGTACTCTCAGACTTGCTCAGACTGAGCTGCCATAGGCTGGGCTCTGCATTCCTGCAATGCAGCATTCCTGCACTCTGAGGCTTGCTTGGGTGAGACTCACTTGGATGCGCTCAAACTCCCCTGGACTGGACACTTGCTCGCTCGGACTGGATGCTCTCAGAGGCATCCAGCAGCCGACCTCCAAAGGAAGCCGAAAGCTTCGCAGAGAAGTCAAAAATCTCCGCAGAGGCTGGGCTAGGTTCACCTGCCTCCAGCCTGCCTCTGACATCACCTGAAAGGAGCACCAGGCCTCAGGCCTGGTGCCTCAAAGAGCTATTTGTTGGTGTGGGCCAACAACTTACAAGGAGCTGTAACGTTAGTGACCAGTAGTGACTGGCACTGTGTTTCCGGGTCACCTTTTGAGAGCTGTTAATTGTCTGGTGGCATCACCACCTAGTGCTGCTGCCTCTATTGCTGTCTGGTCTAGCGCCTAATGCTGTCTATCGTGACCTTCAGACTGTTGCTGGGGGCTGCTGTGGCATCATCTCAGCAGCCCCACCTGTGAGCACCTTGTAGGGTAAGTAAAAAGTATCAGGATTTTCTCCCGCCCCCATTAGATTAAATGCATTGGGCATGCATAGGTGGGTGCATCTGGGCTGAGACTGGCTTATAAGAGCGGAACCACCAGAAGGAGAACACGTGAGAGAGCAGCAGAGAGAATGAGACCACGAGAGAAGGCCAGAGAGCCCAGAAAGAGTAAAGATTCGCCAGGGGCTGGGAGGCCTGCCAGCCTCCCACCCGCCGCTCCCGCCCCTGCCTGCCATGCACCTGGTAAAATCCCAATAAAGGCCTGAAGAGGTGTAGGGTAAGGTAAAAAGGATCAGGCTTTTCTGCCCTCCCGCCATTAGGATAGATGAGAGGACCCTGTGGTCCTGAATGCGTGCGTGATGGCGGGCACCTGGAGTGGGTCCACCTGGCTGAGAGACTGAGTTTATAAGGGCGGCGTCACGGGGATGCCAGCAGAAGCTGAGAGAAGAAGAGAAGCAGAGAGAACACCAGAGAGAGCCAGATAGAGTGAGGATTTGCTGTGGGTGGGAGGACGGCCAGCCTCCCGGCTCCCCGGCACCCCTGCCTGCCATATGCCAGGTAAATCCCAATAAAAGCCTGCAAAGCCACCGAGGGCTCCAGGACTCCTCCTTGACCTGGTCTGCTGGATCAGAAAACCTGCTCCGTGGCCTGTCCTGCCTTACAAGAGGCCACTGAGGGCTCCAGGACTCTTGTTTGCCCGTCTGCTCGGGTCACAGAGAAACTGCTCTGTGCCTTCCTGCCATTACAATTGGTGTAAGTCGGCAAGATGATTCCATGCAGACGGGGATGGAGCCCTCTGAAGACCTTGGAGGGGATTGAGGAGTAGCAGACCGTGAGCCTGTATTGTGAAAACCTGCACTGTGCCCAGTCCGGCCCCCTACAATGCGGTATGTGGCTTGTGGCCGAGACCACAGCTGGAGAAGGCCAGGAAGCCTAATGGTTCCTGGTGTGTGACAGCAGATGCCTGAGTGGTTTCCCTCTTGCATGAGCAGTGCCTTCGGCAGAAGTGGTGGATCATCTGCTAGTGCCAATAGTCTTGTCTTTTGCCCCTAGGTTGGTGCCCTGCCTGGGCTTAGTTGTATTTTTTTTTTTTTAATAATTATAATGTATGCGGTTGTATTCTGTTATAGACTCTGTGGCAGAAAACCCTGAGGGGGTGGATTGTAGGTTAAGTAAAAAATATCAGGCTTTTCCGCCACCCCTCCTCCCCTGCCAACTAGATTAACTGCATACTTGATGGCGGACACCTGGAGTAGGGTGTGGGCATGCCTAGGTGGGTACACCTGGGCTGAGACTGGCTTATAAGAGTGGAACAGCCAGAAGGAGAATAAGTGAGAGAGAAGGAGAGAAACAGAAGAGAGAGGACAAGACCACAAGAGAACACTGGAGAGCCCAGAAATAGTGAAGATTCACCGGGGCTGGGAGGCCTGCCAGTCTCCTGTTCCCCCTCAACCCCCGCCCCGGGCACCCCTGCCTGGTCAACTCAATAGAAGCCTGAAAAAAGCCACCAAGGACTCCAGGACTCTTCACCCATCTGCTTGGATCATAGAAAACCTGCTCTGTGCTCATCCTGCCACTACACACCTCCAGCTGTGGTGAGTTGGATCCTGGCCCACTGCTTTTGCCGGCGTTCCATGAGATTGACGCTCTTGTTGACTGGACGCCATCTTGGATGAGTGGCCTTTTGTTTAGGACTTTTGGACACTTCTGACTTTGAAAACTGTTTTCTCCGTTTCCTAAACAGACCTCCTTCTTGTGGTTCCCTGAGCCTGAGTGGTCTTGCCATTGTGGGCATAGGTGAAGAATGTACAGATAGTGACCTGTCCTCCACTGGCACTGCCCTTTGAGTAGCTGTAGCCCCTTCTTTTTATCTCCTCTCCATAATGCTGTTTCAGTAGTATCCAACTAATTTAATTGCTTTTCATTTTTAGGCTTTTAAGAAATTGAAGAAAATTCTCAACTCGGCTTTCTAAAATCTGGCATATTGACTGAAGATGGCAAACAAGTCAAAACACAGGTATTTATGTTTATGTCAGAACATTTAGTATACATACACACACACACACACACATATATGAATATATAGAATAGATTCAAATTCTTTTTTAATGTTATGTCATTCAGGGATCAACCAGAAAAACAAAACCAATACACTATATGTATCTTCATCTACATGTAGATGTCAGTGTGCAGAGAGAGATCTATATACATCTATGTATATCTAGATCTACACAGAGATACATGTTGATACATATGTACATACATATCAACATTTATCTCTATATAGATACCTATATCTATGTACATGTGTACACACACACATGCACTTTATCACAAGGAACTGGCTTACGCAATTAGATTGCCAAAGCAGTTTGAAGTCCTTAGGGCACGTGGTTAGGAAGGTAAGACCTAGAACAGACTGGAACCCCACAGGTAGGAGCTATTTGGAATCTCTGAGCTCAGGAAAGGTCTAAGTCTTTTTTTTTTTTTTTAAGATTTTTACTTATACAAGAGCCGGGGTACAGGCCAGATGTGCAGGAGGGTGAGAGGATTCACCAGAGACAGAGCAGGGAACAGAACAGGCAGACTGACGAAATACACTGCTGAGGGCAGCAGCAGGCGAGACAGGAGAGGTCTGCTTCACCATATGGGTTGCTCCGAAGCCAGCAGGGATCGAACTGGCACTGCAGAGGTTGCGGACAGCTTCACAGCGCTGTGCTCAACCGCCTGTGCCACCAGGGAGACCCCTAAGTCCTCTTTTAAAAGACTGACCTGACTAGGTCAGGTCCACCAAGGAGGTACTCCCTTTTGATTGACTTGAATTCAACTTACAGGAACTTCAATTCATCTACATATTCCCTTTACTCAGATGAGTAACAGGACTGTGGCTCAGCCAAAAAAGCACATCAAAAGCCAATCACAATGCTCAAATGCTAAAAACTTGTATGTATTGCCTCCTCCCATAGGTCTTGCAGACAAAACCAAAGTTGTTTTCTTGAATACTGTTAGAACAAACCATTGCCAAGCATAGAGCCTGGAATGTAGAGTAGGCACTTGGTTAATATTTATTGAGTGAAAGAAATGGGTAGGTAGGGTTTTGAGAATTGCAAACTCTTGAACATCACCCAAATGTTGCTCGCTGGCTGCATTTCAGAACCAGCTGGGGAGTTTTTTTCATGGGCACATGCCCAGCCCCTCATTTGAACATCCTCGTGAAGTATCAACGACGTGTATTTTTAAGTTTCTTCGGTGGTTCAACTATAATCCATCATACAACCACAGAAATGTGTTAGCTCTACGATCCCAGTCGGTGTCTAACATTATGGTATTTTCACCTGAAATGGAAAGTCACTTTCAATCACATACCTGATTGTGTAACAAAATCAGTAAACTCTGATTCTGTCCTTAAAACTGGTATTTTTTTGAGTTTACAAAACAGACCAACCATCAGGTCAGTATTTCATCAGCTGTGCTCCGTGGAACACAGGTGTTGTGAGACATCTAAAGAAATCGTTCTGAGGGCAGACAGGTCCCCTGCCATCCACAGCATATACTGTCTCACTGTCCGCTCAGCATCATAATATCCATTTACTTTAGTAAGACCCAGTGATTCCCAAATATATTCGCCTGGAACCCTTTTATTTGTGAGCTATTGTAAACATCCTGCAGAAGCGCAGCAGCAAGTGTCCAGCCCTGGTGCTGACTAGACACCATAACCAAACTAGAGTATTAATTTCAGGGTCATATGAGTAACTTTATTATACTATGTAATAAAACTATAAATCTGTATTTAACATACAGATTTGAACATACAGTTTAGTTATTAAATGCAAATTATTAAAATTGTTAGCAATATCAGCTATAAGTAGATGAAATTATTAAAACAAAGATATCTACAGGTACAAATTATGAAAACCTAAAAAATATCAGCTGTAATGACAATCTTTGTTCACGATAACTAGACTGTGGGTGATAAAAACTACTTGGGTGTTAAGTTCTGTTTGTGGCTATGACATCTGACAACTTCTTAAGGCAGCAGGGGAAACTTAGTTCCTGTTTTTCAGAAGTAGCTCCATATTGTTCTCGCACAACCCATAAGGGCATTCCACACTGTCCTTAAAGCGAACTGCCAAAAGCAAGCTGCTTCTATCTAGATGACTAGGAAACTCCCAATATTTTTAGCCTAGAGAATGTAGGGAGACGAACCTGGAAAGTCACAGGTTACTGTTACCGGAGAGATGCTGGTAGCCATATTCCTTGGCACATGGAGTGGCCCAGAAGATTGAGGTAAACGGAAGGTACAATGAGAGGGAAAAAATGGGGAAGAAGCCCCAGTTTGAATCATTAGACCCATTCAAGCCTGTGGCCATGGCTATCCCTGTACCTCAAGTTCTGTGAGCCAAGTAATTTTGCTTTTCTGGCTTAAGCTAGTTTGAGTGGTGGTGGCAATACCATAACTAAGAGTCACAACTAAGATAGCCTTCCCCTAAATTCTTCTTCATGCACTATAAAGACATGGTGTACATACACACATGAAGGCTGCCTTATAGACGTAGGCACGTGGCTTATTGTATTAAGTTTGTTGGCTAACTTACTGTGCACATCAGGGAATGCTTCTTTCCCTAGGAGGAATCAGGCACTATGGGTTTACAAAACTTGAGGTACTAAAGGAAGAAAAAAGGGACTGGGACCAGTAAGAGCAGCATATTTTTAATTTAAAGAATAAGAGGACCAGTGTCTTCATGAGAAATTAGGTAAAAGGGGTTTATTCAGCTATGTGGTGGGGCAAGGATATAGCACTGGTGAAGACACTTTATTAATGAACAGGACAGAGGGTATGTTGGAGGTAGAGGTGGGGAATCCAAAAGTGAGGGGATCCCATTCTAGAAATAAGGGGATCCCTTATCCATAAGTCCTTGGTACAGGAATGTTTCTCCATAACTACTGGATATGAAGAGCTAAGACAGGTCCCCAGAAATTCAATAATGAAAAGGTAAGAGGGTGGATGACTGTTCTCTCAGCTTTTCTTAGTGTTTTTATGTTAGGACTGATCCTAACAGTTTTTTTTTTTTTTTTTTTGCACAATGGGATTCTGTAATTTTTATCATGAACACAGCTAGATCCTCAGGGCTTCAGAACTGGATGCTCAATAACCTGCCTTGACCCCATATGTGGGATAAGGGGCAGAAAGAACTTGATCCCAGGTGTCCTGATGACCAGGTCATATTCCCAGAATGTAAAAGTCGAAGACTAAAAAAAATCATTACAAGAGACTAATTTGTTATGAATTCCATGTTTGTGTCTCTCCCCTCCCCAATTTATACTTTGAAGCCACAACCTGAGTGTGCATCTTAATTACTTCCTTGGAAGATTAAATGAGGTCATAAGGGTCCTGATCTGGTAAGATTAGCACCCTTAGAAGAAGAGATAGCAGAGAGCTAGTTCTTTCTCTTCACGCAGTTACACGGAGGAAGGACCATGTGCAAGCCTCGAAGTGCTCATCAGGAAACAAATCAACTCAAGTCTTATCTTGAACTTCTAGCCTCCAGACTATGAAAAAATACACTTTTGATGTTTGAGCCATCTATGATATTTTGTTATGGCACCCGAAGCAGACCTGAAACAACTTCAGTGATGAAAATGAGTAAATTATAGAGCACAAAAATCAAAGAATTGTGATCTGCTCACCACACTTCAGTCATTGCCATTGCTTTCTTGTCTGCTCCCAAACAGGGCAGAGAACATCTTGGTTCCTCAGCACTTCCATTTTAATGGCATAGCACTGATGTAGTCATAAAAACGGGAGAATTTGAAGGTCATGTAAGCCTCAGGATATGGCTGTGGAAGATTCACTCTGCTCTATATATCTCAAAACTATGGTCACACACACACAGCAGAATTTAATTCCAAAGTCAAAAAGTTTTTCTTGAAAATAGATTTAATCTTATTCATATTAGAAATGTTCCATGTTTCTCTTCAAAGCCACCTCCACACTAAGTTTTCCTTTTGACAAATGAAAATTTTTCTGGGGAAATTTTTTTTGAAGATATTAAAAGAAAACTTTGTATTTGAGCTATCAAAAGGCACATAATCAAAAAATTGCAATGTCTGACCTGTTCAGGAGGTGTCTGGAGGGGAAGAATCACAAGCACTACTATGATTTGAAGTGTGAAGAAGTTTCTATCTACCCATTTCAGTTAACACTGGTACAGTATGCAAAGGAAAATGACCCTCAAGGAAAAGTTTTCACTGAGCTGAGGATTATAGGAACAACAACAAAAAAGGGAGGAAACATCTCTGAGACTTTTTTATGTTCAGCTGAACATTAACAAGAGTGAAAAATCAACCTGGTGTGATCAGTAACTTTTAAAGACCAGCTCAGTTGTTTTTTCCTGGCACTACTGACATTACCACCACTCTAACTTCCAAATGCTAGAAAAAGATAAAAAGACTAGAAAAAGAGGGGATATAGAAACTGCTCATTTTGTGCTTGGAGGAACGGCACCAGCACTGCAGTGCCCATGTACTGGGTCTGCCAGGAGGCGCCCCTGCATGGAGGGGGAGGGGTGTTTCTTCACCCAGGTTGCTGGGCTGGTGCACAGGCGCTTCCTCTGGGGCAGCTCCACGTGGAGGCGTCTAAGAAACCAGGGTCTACTTGGCCATCTTGCGGATCATGTAGTTGAGGATGCCCCCGTTGTGAAAGTAGGTGAGCTCCACGTCAGTGTCAAACCTCATGACAGCCTGGAAGGTCTTCCCGGTATCCAGCTGCGATGATAAAGAAGAGAGTGAAATCACTACGGGAGAAAGTGCGACCCCACACAGGGAGATTGTGCCCCTTGGACCCATGGAGTCTCCACAAAGAACCAGCAGCTCCTGGGAGCATGCACAGTCTTGGGACCTGCCCAGCCCTGCTACTGAAGCTGCATTTTATCAAGAGCTTCAGCTGAGCATAAAATACCAGAGGTGAGAGACACCGGAGGATTTGAAGTTGCTTCTCTCGGCAGCAGCTACTAGTGACGTTCAGACGATACTTTCTAAACCCTTTCTAGGTGCTCCCCTCAGATGGAAATGTCTCAGGTCAGCAGGTTTCATTAAGAATGTCCCTTGGGCTGCTGGGCCAGCTGCTCACTTTGGGACACAGACTCAGCAGCTGCTCAGCAGCTGTCTGGGTGGCTCACTTTTCCAGGGACCTTGATGGAGGCACTTCATCCTTACGTCACCTAAAGGGCTGTCAATTTTACTCTGGGCTAAAAATCCTGGACCCTGGGGTGAAGCTCAAGGCTAGGATGAGTATGTCTGCTGTTTATATTTTTATAATACGAAGGAGCTTTCTATAGGTAATGTGGAAATGCCCTATTCCAGAGCTTTCATCAATATTCTCTGACAGAGTTAGAGGGAGAAATAGGATATAGCAGGGCTGGGAGGTAAGAGTAGAACAAATGCTAACTCTATGAATAAACAGGAATAAATAAATCAGCAAGTATCATTTTACTATGTAATGAAGGCAGGTAGGAAAGATGCTAAGAGAGCTCCAAAGACTGATGCAGTCTTGACAAAAGAGATTTTTTTTTCCTTCCAACGCTCACTCATTTCCTTCTAATGACCTAATTAAAAACATAGAGTCTGGGGGCCTCCCTGGTGGCGCAAGGGGTTAAGATGCAACCTGTGAGGCTGTCTGCAGCCACTGCAGCATGAGTTCGATCCTCGGCCAGGGAGCTACCCGCTTGGCACAGTAGACCTCTCCTGGCTCGCCCACCTGCTCCCCTCAGAAGGGTATTTCAGTCAGTCTGCTTGGTCTGTTCCCCGCTCTGTCTCTGGTGAATCCTCTCACCACCCCCCACACCTCTGGCCTATACCCCAGTTCTTGTATGGATAAATAAACCTTTAAAAAACAACACAATATTGAATTCCTTTTGCTAGGCCTGGTATGGAGTGCCTCCAGCTTACCTTCACTTGGACTTGCATTCGAGGCTTGAGGTTCTGTGGAATGATGATAGAGTATCGTTCCCGCCCGGTCAGTCCCAGGGTGTCTGCGTTCTCCTCCGGGAGATATTCGAGGGGGATCACCCCCATTCCCACCAAGTTACTACGGTGAATGCGCTCATAACTCTCAGCCAGGACAGCTTTGATTCCCTGATGAGCCAAGAGAGTAGTTGAGGTACAGTTCCAATTTTTCTTTAGATGCAAAGAACTTTACAAAAGGCTTAAGTCAGACTCTTCTAGCAACCTAAATTCTTTGAAAATACCAATTAATGGTTTACGTAAAATGTTATCCTCTAGTGTAAGTAACACAATAGCTAGACTGAACTGCCTGCAATGTACAGGCACTGCGTAAGTACTTACGTGAATTCTCTCATGCCACCCGCTGCCAGCCCTATGTTGGATGCTCATGTTGTGCTCCCTCCACTCATGTGGTCAGCGGCAGTATTGAACCCATGCACTGTGACCATGTACTTAACCATTTCGTTATGCAACATCTCTGAGCAAATTTCCACTGTGTCTGGAATCCATACCACGCATCATAAATTTTCTTTCCCTTGAATTCTGCTGCTGTTGTGAGTGCATTGGGAGATGTTGATGCTTTTAGGCTTTATTTCAAGAATCAAATTGCATTGAGCATAGACTTGATACTAAGCTTCCTAGGAAGTACGTTTTATTGGTAATCCATAACTGGCCATATACAGCAATCATCAATAAACCAGGCTATTCAATTAACTAGAATATCCCGTTGTTAAATATTAGTTAACTGTAATATAATATTAAGACACACTAAGAGGTTTCTTGATATTTAGGGTATACTTTTAAGATTCACTTCTATTAAGGTCACTTGGGGGAACTTCTTAAAAATGTAGATTCCTGAGCATTACCCCAGAGTTACTGCAGCAGAATCTTGCAGAGAGCATGGTGTGGGAAGATAGCAATTCTTATAAGTGATGAGAAGCATGGTTACAGAGCAGTGGTTCTCAAGCTTAGCTGCATGTTAGAATCACCAGGGGAGACTTTTAAAGTCCCCATCCCTTTCTCCTTATTAATTAAACCAGAATCTCTGGGGATGACATCCAGGCTTAAGTATTTTTAAAAACCTCATGATTATTTCCAAATTTAAAAACAAATTTATAGAGGAATGAGATTCTTTAGGACAGTATATACTTTGTATGGATTGGTACATGTATGCATTTTGTATTTATTTTGGCAGAAGTAGAAATCTCTATAAACACATGCTGTTCACCAATGGCTGGCAGTGCTGCAGTGCTGTCGATCACCACTGTCTACCTTTTTCTGCTGGGGCTACAGCCCAAGACTCCTGTGTGCCCCAGGATGGGTAGCTACAGAATGAAGTATGGACACTGCCTGGACAGGCAAAACTGCAGCAAGCCCTCTGGGTGCCAGTTCTTTTATTGCTGTTGGATATTAACAGTTTCCCTCCTGACTGCTTGCTGCCTGGGTCTATTTTCTACTATCAACCTCCAGCCTCCCTCCTTTGGAATAAAAATATTCAAAAACATTTTTAGAAGGCTGGACATCTGGAGGGCTGCCTGTCAGAGAGCCATGTTTTGCACTGTACCCGTGGATATCACCTTATGCAGGGTTTCCCATTAATTTGCTTGAGTCATAAATTATACAAATTGACATCAGCTAATCCAGAGGATTAAAACCAGGCAGCAAAATTGTTTCATTTAAAGCAAACAATGCTCAAGAGGTAAAAACTGCTCCCGGTGTGGCACCTGGGGACACCTCAAGCAGGTCAAGCCCTGAAAAGCTGAAGCTTCTAAAGAGCTATCTGTCTTTACACAGAGAGAGCTTCCTTTTCTACTGAGTCCATGAGTAGATTTTCACAGGCAGTGCAGAGCTATTGTAAAAAGTGCATTCCCCAAGCTTATCCAAAGCCCAGTCTCCACTTTTTCCCATCTGTGAAAATACAGTGGCAGTGGCCCCTGGCTTATTCCTCACATTCATCTGGGAGAATGGCCTGAAATAAATTTTGGGCCCTTAATCTCTGAGAATGTTCTGAAAACCATGAAACTTTCCCCTATAACAAAAGATATACATACACACTTTTGGATTTAATTTCAGAGACTTCGCAGATTTTCCCACTAAACTGTTCTATAGACACTTCCAAAGATCCGTGGTTCCCAAGATATGAATGTCTGGCCTAAGGGAATCAGGTCAATTCTAGATTATGCTCCATCTCTTCACCACATGAAGTAAATCCAGATCCACCAAGAAGCAGGGGATGAACAATATTACTTACTTTTCTGAGCTTGGAAAGTAAAGCAACAGAATCTTTCCCTGGGCCCCCTCCCCACGTCATCCCTGGTTTAGTGGGGCAGCCACCTGTTTGAATGTCTCGACGACATACTCACCAGTAGGAAAGGGCCCTTGGCGGCCCAGTCTCGGGAGCTGCCCGAGCCGTACTCTTTGCCGGCCAGGACAATCAGGGGAAGGTTGGCCTGCTGGTACCGCTCAGCGGCATCGAACACGTCAAGCTGAGGAAGGGAAAAGGAAGGTTTTACAGACACGGTAAAGCCCCAGAGTGTGGATGCAGGTGTGTGGAGATCTGGTGTCCAGAGGCCCAAGTCAATGCAAAGCCAACAGGAAAATCAGCCAGCCACTTGCCTGGTTTACAGTTTTCCAATGAACTCCATCTTATTTACCCCCACCAAACTGAATTTTATATTCTTTTAAATGAAACACCTAATTGTTGCCCTGACTTTAGAAAAATATTCAAATCCTAGAACAATGGGGGAAGGAAACTAGATTCGATTTTTTCCTCATCTATTGATTAAACTATTTTAAAACTTAAAAAACGGAAAATCTAAACATTGATTTTGACTCAGTATCAGAGACTATGGGATGGTCATTTTGAAGGGTAGCAGAAAACAAAGAAGGTAACACGTTCAGAGATTACGTGAAGTATCCACTTTTATCAGGTACTCTTCTATGTGGAGGTCAAGGGCAGAGACAATAGATAACCAGCAATGGAAGCACAAATCAAAAAAAGGGCGGGTCAACTACTCTTCGCACATACAACAAACATTGTATACAAATAGATTCTCTTGTTTCTTACAGAAACTCTCAGTATTGTGCTAACAGGAGGCTTTACTCAGAAGTAATAGCATTGCTGGTGATGGGGTATGAAACAATCGTTTTTCTTGGCTACAAAAATCACAGAGTAAAATTCTTCAATAAGAGGGAGTACTTTAGCTTAAAGGAGCTCTAGAAAAGTGTTCACTCAAACTCTCAAGTAGTCTTTTACAAATTACTGTTTTGGTGGATGGATGGGTCCGTAGTTAATTTCCAAGTGGCATCACTTAATCCTGGGTAGGAATCTCTGTGTCTCCATCTGGCCAGAGCTCATGAATACAGACAAAAACTGTTAGAAAAACAGTAAGAGCCTTCTTTTGTCCAACCAAATAGTCTAGATTTTTAAAAGAACAGAAAGATCCAGTCACCTGGATATTTTCAGAGATAGCTATTACTAGCGTGGGTATTAATACAGGAGTGGTATGTTTTAAAGTATTTTCAAAACTGTAAAACTGACAGTCTCCTCTGAGGGATGAGGCAGGTCTAGGACCCTAGTCTCTCTGACACAGCTATGCTTAGTGAACGGTTTATAAAGCCAGTGGCTCTCTGCTTTCTCCCTCTTCCAAAGAAAATAATGTAAAATTTAGTTGTTTCTTCTGTTATTTTACCCCTATATCTCTAGGTATTTAAACTGCCATTTTTTATTCACTTTTGTTATCTGTCCATTTCCTACTCTGATGAGGATTTAATTCTCTTAGCCACCACTCTCCAAGGCCTTCTGCCTCTCCCCGCCTCTTTTATACCTCCCTTGCCCCGACTTCCCAATACAATTATCTCACAGGTTTTGATAAGTTCATACCCGGTGTTTGCATTATGTCCACATATAGGCGACTTATGGTTCAGTCATGCAGTGTACTATGACTTCCTTTTCTTGGCAGTGGAAAACAAATTTCCACAGCAGTTAATAATTTTCATTTGTTTTTACTGTGTGTTCACCTATTTCTGTGTCCCTGTCCATTAACCCCCCAAACACCCTAACTAAAGCACAAGTCTTCTCTACAGACATTCAAATATATGAAGCAATCATTTAAAAAATCGTTTCAGAGTGATACACTCTCACAGGCCTTATTCCTGTCCCAGTTGGACGGCTAGTTCTCTGGATGTGGTTCATTCCTATCACAGAGGAATCTTCCTTCCCCAACACCTGAGGATTCCCTGCATTTCTTTTTCCTGAATTCTGTATCTTCCTCTTTTTTTTTTTAAATATTTATTTATTTATACACGCACTGGGGTACAGGCCAGAGGCGCGGGAGGGTGAGAAAATTCACCAGAGACAGAGCAGGGAGCAGAACAGGCAGACTGACTGAAATACACTGATGAGGGGAGCAGCGGGCGAGACAGGAGAGGTCTGCCATGCCATGTGGGATTCTCGCCAGCCGGGATCGAACCTGTGCTGCAGAGACTGTGGACAGCTTCAAAGCACTGCGCTCAACCAGCTGCGCCACCAAGGAGGCCCTATCTTCCTCTTCTTTTGGTTTGTTTCCTCATTTTGGTGGAACACATTTCCTAAGTAGCTTCCTTAGACAGGGATTGAGGGATATTTTTAAAGCTTTGAGTTCCTGAATATGTTATTACTTTAATATCACTTGATTGTCAGCAGAAAAAATGTGCAAATCATTTTCCTCAGTCTGTTTCCAGTGCTGGAAACACTTCTAATCCCCAGTCATTGTATGTAAGCTGTCCTTCCCTCTTCTGAAGTTTCTAGATCTTTTCTATGACTGCTGTTCTTGGCTACATAATGATGTGACATGGAGTGGGCCTTTTTAAATCATTTGGACTTTGTGTGATGTCCTTGCCAATGTTCTCACGTCCACTTTGGCTGTTGTCTTTTCAGAATCCTATTCAGTCCGAGCTGGGCTTTCCCAACTCAGTCCTTAATTTTCTTTCTAATTTACCCTTCACCTTTCTGTTCTATATTCTGGGAGATTTTATCAACTGATCAGCTTTTCCTTTGAAAATTTTGAGGGGCTTTCAAAAAAAATTTAAGTGCTCTTTTTTGTCTTGATTACTTTGGAGCAACAGAAAATCATTCTAAAGCAATGTTTTTGCTACATTTTTCTTCTTTTTGCATCATCTGTTTTCCTTCTTATTCCTCTGTACTTTGTCTTTCTAGATCAAGGCTTGGCTCAAAGTTCTGTTCATCTGACTGTCTCCTTATTTAAGAGAGGCACTGGACATTTGACTACTAGAAATTCTAAGTCATGGCAGGCTTGTAAATAAGTGAGGTTCATTGTGCTTGTAAGTTTTCTGGCAGCACCCTAGTGTCTAACTGCAAGTCTTTCCCCATGGTCCCTTGGGCATTCCACCATTTAATTGAATCCTTTTCACTGAACAGTCTATCATGCCTGCTATTTATTAAGCAAATCTGTTAGACAATGACTTTGTGCTGGGTCCTGATGATCACTTATTACCTATAAAGAATTTGCTTTACACAAATCTAATCAGTCACAAGTGCAGCAGCATGCACTGGGGTGAAGAGCACTGACTTCAGAGCCAGACTCTTGGGTTCTAATCTCAGCTTCCCCCTATGTGACCTTAGGGAATTAAATGAGCTCGCTGAGCTTCAGGTCCCCAATTAAAATACCGATGATTATGACGCCTGCCTTAAAGAGTTGTTAGAAGTACATGCAAAGAGCTCAGAACAAATATTGCCTGGGATGCAGTAAGTTCCATGTAAATATTAGCTATTAACCTTCTAAAGTAGGTTGGCAGGGTTATTTCTCAAGCAGTCTAAACAGTTTTCAAGAGTTTTCTGCCGCATGCACTGGGAAAGGAAGTGACACTACTTCATGTGCTAGATATTATACTAGGTGCTTAACATGTCATTCCGTTTAAGTATCAGAACCTTACAAGGTAGTTAATATTTCTACTTCATGAGTAAGAAAAATGTGGTTCAGAAGATGAAATAATCTGCCAGGCTCAAGGTACAGGCCCCTCCTAACCTTCCTCATGGCTCCCCACTGTGAGCCAACAATTCCAGCTGTAATCCTGAAACTCTGGTTCCTATGAGGACCCAGCAGGCCTCCACATTCCTTCTTTTTCTAGAGGGTATGGTGAATTAAATGCTAGTTAAGTTATATGCTAGCACTTCTTGATAAATATCTTCTATCTTAATCTGGAATTTCCTCCTGAACTGATGGCATTCTATCCAGAGACTCTGTAAGCACAACGCTGAGGAAGCCAGATGTAGTTAAACCATGGTTAAACTAGGAAACTAGATTTAATTAAACATTAGCAGAACCCTTAAGCAGGAAAAGGAGGTTTTACAGTTTTAAAAGGACATCATTGAAAAACTCTACACACAGGGACACCTGGCAAGAGGGTCTTTATGAAACCTGAGGTAGAATGGCGCTGTGAGGAAAAAATAGGAACAAAAGGGAAGCACTTGTCTACGCAACCATCCAGCGCCTGACAAATGCTGGCTTCTTGAGGAAGCAGAAGAGACAATACTCACAACTTCTCCAGATGGCAGATGTATAGTCTGTGGTGCCTGCTTGTTCAGAAATTTGTTTAATAAGCGAATGTTGGCAAATGTCCCTCGAGCCATGATGGCATCGTTACCTCGGCGGGAGCCATAGGAGTTGAATTCTCGTGGAGTCAGGCTAGTAACAGAAGGCAGGAGAAGAACTAGTTTAGTGAAATGAGTGAAAATTAAATTTAGCTTGCAACAAGACAGCAGGAAGACCATAAACCTAGCTATTGCTCTGTGTCTACTAAGAATCGTTCTCTAATAACAGAAAAGCCAGGTACCCACAGGTTCAACAGGTGCAACGAAATCACTATTCTCTTGGGATCAACTTAGTCTTACAGATCTAGGTAGGAAAATCAGGAGGACTCTATTAAGAGCATTTATTTTATTTAAGTAGGGGCGTCAACAAAATGTCATAGAAAATGAAGAATAGCTAAGATGGACACAGAGAGAGCAATCAGGCCAGTCAGATGGAACCAAGAATGGGGGGATCGTATGTTCCGTACCTAACCATAGGTAGGTTACGTGGATGAGGACAGTATTTATTTCCCTTTTCATACGGTCTTTTTCAGACTGGTGTTTACTGAATCCTTGGGCTTGGAAACTAATTGCCCTTTCTGTTTGTTGCTTTCCAGCTTCCTCACTCACACTTACCCTCTGTTAGTTAAATAGCGCGCAGCAGGGCTGTTTCTTGCAATATTTCCAGCTGGAGAGATGTGGTCAGTTGTTACTGAGTCTCCCAAATTTAAGAGTACATAGGCATCCACTATAGATTTAGGGGGCTGAGGATCCAAAGTCTAGCAAAAAAAAAAAAACAAAAACCAAGTCCCAGTGTTTGCCCAGGTTTATTCATTAGGGGAGTCTCAACAGCCCTGAACCCGGTGACAACTGTACATCAAGGCATAAATAACTCAAGGATTTTTCATTTTATCAGGGCTGCTTAGAAAGGTGAATGTACTTGAAATATTCTTATGTCATCCTTTAAGGGAAGAAGAAGAATTGGCACTATCCCCTCAAAAGCAATAGGGATGCAGCTGCAAATGTCAAGTCTTTTTTCACATGCATGCAAATCCTCAGATGCTGACCTTCCTCAGACCTTACTGAGTCTGGGTGTGGGTGGTACCAGACCACCAAGGTGTCCACACAATCAGCACCCATGAACAGGGGAACTGCAGGTCCAATTATCTGTGGCCAACTGTGGCCCATTATCCCAGCTTCCCAAAATGCTCCCAGTGTTATCTACTTGGATTTGTAAAGTTTTTCATGAAATAGGTAGTCACAGCAAAGGTATAGGGTAATAAAGTAGATCTGGTAAGAAACCTTTTGAAGATTTCATTTTGTTAAAAAAATAAGAAGTCTTACCAGGTTTTCAAAGAATGGTGGTGACTTAATGTAGGTAGATTTGGGATTCCAGGAATACAGCTTATCTTTGGGGGCTGCTAAGGCATTCCAGCTTTCATTCACAGTCTTAAAAAGAAAAGGCAGATCTAATCACATTCCATTTGAAGGAAAATTTAATGCAAACACACAGTACAATAAAAACCATTTTTGTTCTAAGTAGTAATACAAGAGTTCCTGTAGACCAAGACAATGTCATGCTAAATCACTTAAAAATACAAATGCACTGTGATGGGCAGCCTGAAAGATGGCCCCAAAGGTCAGCCTCCTGATTGCATCATACCCTGATGTGACCCTTTCCTGCTAAGTGGGCAGAACTTAGCAGCTCATTTCCAACATAAGGTTGTAAAAAGACTCAGCCCCGTCTCTCTCATTCCCCTTAGCTTTCTCTGCCTCTTTCCTGCTTGGAATGAAGCCAGCTACAATACTGTGATCTGTGAAAAAGAGACACAGCAATACACTGAGAGGTCTCTGGCTACCAGTCAGTGAGGAACTACCCTCATGCCAAAAAACCACGAGAGCAGACTTAGAGGTGGATCCTGCTGCTATTGAACTTTCAGATGAGCTGCAGCCCCAGATGACACCCTGATTGGAGGCTTGTGAAGGCCCAGACACCAAGTGAGCTGCATCTGGATTCTGCACCCACAGGAACTATGAGGTAATATATGCTTGCTGTCTTAACCCACTGAGTTTTGGAGTAGTTTGTTGCATGGGTTAGATAACGCTATATACATATATACATATACCTATACACACACACACACACACACACACATAATGTATATTTAAGATGTAAATATATGTATCTATACACTTATATAACTTTGAAATAATGATCCAGATTAAACCATAAGAGAGATTTACTTTCTGAAGGTTTTAAAAGTGGACTTCCAGATCATATAGCCATTGGACAGCAAGTAACAGCTGCCATGCATTCAAATTGGCTTGAATTCTCTCCACAGTTACATCAACATAGCCTTTGGGGAAAATATTTAATTAGAGTAATATCATTTGCCAATGAACAGCTTGCAAGAGCACACAGCACATGAATTTGATCTCCATGTGCCTTCTCACCCCAGTTTGCTCTCTTTATTTCAAACCACTAGCCCTAGTCAGCAGCCTACAGGTCAGCTTAACACAGAAGGCAGGGGAAGGAATAACATAGAAGAATCTCAGAATATGATATTGGGCCTCATATATTTTCCCCCTATTTATAAAATGCACACGAAGTGCTATTTACTTCAACAGTTTGGTAGTTCTGTGCTTCTTGCTGAGTGACTTTATTCATTTTTAAGTATTTCAAAGAATTCTGAGAGGTACATTTAACCAATAGATGTTCCTTTGAGTCCACTTTGGTGACACAAAAGTGATGTCATGGTTCTGAGAAGGGGGAGTTAAGGAGCGCTGGCCAATAATTACAGGCCTGAGGCCTTCTCAAGGCTATCTGGGGAGTGTGGAGTTTGTAAAAATGCAAGTCACAGGAAAAAAAGGACTGAGAAGTGTTTCCCTGCTTCTCTGAAGAAATAAAGGCTACTTTCTGTAGTTTATACTCCAGTCAGCCTTGAGCTCTGCAGGAATGACACAGACACCCTGAGGGCAGGATAGGCAGAGATCTCACCTCTATTTTCTGATAGACTTCCTTAAACATCCCAGGGATGACATACTGGCGCTCCACTGCCTGGATCTCTTCTCGGGTAGGCCAGATGTCTTTCAGAAATACCTGTTGTCCCTTTGCATTTACCCCTGGAGAAAAAAATGTTTATTAATGAGAAAAACTTCATATAGACTCTATTTTCTTTGTTACAGAGTGTCAAGTCTCATTCTTCACAGTAGTTAGAGTCTATAAAATCTACATCACTGTCCCTAGGGGCAATACAGGGTTAGATTCCTCTGGTCACATTTTCCATCAACCCATAGCCCATAAAATTCCTTTATGCGTTGTCTCTGCTTAAAGACTGCTTATTTAATACATATTGCTGCTGCGTTAACAGGGAGCTGTAACTGCCAGCACTGTAACTCTGCCTCAGGAATCTTGTCTAACATGAGGTACATCACAGCTTCTTGGGCTTAGCGACTACTTGAGCTCCACACTTGGACGCCGCGGTAAACAGTGAAGTCACCAACACAAAGTACAAAAATGCAAAAAACACAGCAGTAAATACAGCAGGAAAAGGACACTTATAGTAGGAGAGGTGAAACAAGAAGGCAGAAGACTGCTTTTGTTCCACCTCAGCTGATTATATGCTTGTGGAGTGACTCAAAGTCTCCATCTTTCTGTGTGTCTCTGAATAAACAGGGAAATGTGATGAGGACTGATTTGGGGCAAATGACACCTTAATGAGTAGGCAAACTAAAAATACAGATCCAAATATAATGAGGATCAACTGTACCTCTAAAGTTATGATTTCCTAAAAGTAAACCAAAGGGGCCTCATTTTCCATATCATATAATCTTCTTAGAATGGGTTGAGGAGGGTATAGCAAGCAAGAAGAAAACAAAGCGTCATTTCCTCTGAATTTTGAGAAAATGGAACTAGCTGGGAAGTGGTGCTACAGAGGGCATATTAAAACAATGCATATCCTTAGACTGAAGGTGCCAGAAAGAGGAGCTGAAGAGTCCGTAGGAAGAAGATCTCTATTTCCATATTAACTCCCTTTTTGTCATTCTTTTACCCTTTAGTAAATGCTTATTTAACTATTTGCATTATGTTTAGCTGTGCATTGGGGTATAAAAAACACTCCTCAATTTTCTCTTCCAAGTTCTATGCTTCACTTTCGATTAAGGAAAGCAGTAAATTCCTTTCAGTAATATTTTTAATTTCGTTAGGAAAAAAATTCATACCCACACAAAAAAAATCTTACCCAGTGGCTCCTTCTCAAAGTCAATCCTGATGGTCCCAGCAATTGCATATGCTATCACTAAGGGTGGTGAAGCTAAATAGTTGGCCCGGGTATTGGGGTGGACTCGCCCTTCAAAATTCCTGTTCCCAGACAGTACACCAACAGCTACAAGGTCTCCCTGTTTAAGGACAAAAACCAGGTAATAAAGAGATTGCTTCAGCTTCTTGTGTTTGACCATTTGCCAAAGTTGCAGTGAACTTATTAGCTATATACTCTTGGGTAAGTTAATTAATATCCTCTTTATGCCTCTTTCCGTAACAGTGAATTGGAATGGTAATAGAAACTGTTTCACAGAGTTGTCAGCATTAAGGTAATGATGGGAATGCAAGACTTAGTGCAGTGCCTAGCACAGAAGTGACTGCTCATTAAATGCTAGTTTTGACTAAAAAGGCCTCTAGAATTGTTTGCTCCTAGTCACTCGAAAACTGGTTGAACAAATCTTCGCACAAATGAATCTAAATTAAACTGCACTGGTTTGATTTTTGTCCCATAAATTCTGTAGTGTTGAGAAATATGATTTGGCTTGCTTCACATTAATTTATAGAAAGCAGGTCAGTCAATTAACTTGCTCAAGAGTATATCACTAATAAATTCAGTTCAACTCCAAGAGCATACTCTTATCTATATCTCTCTCCTGCTTCCCCAGAACTTTTTGACAATACCAGTATTTTGTTCATACATCACATGAAAAGAAACAACAGCTTTGTAGACCCACAGGCACTTCTGTAATTACCTGTGTGATGGCTTCTACCACAGGTTCAGGTAAAGGCCCACTGTTGCCAATGCAGGTCATGCAGCCATAGCCCACCACATCAAACCTAGATGCCAAAAAAGAAGCACATGACAGTGAATAAAAGCCCTCAGTGAGCCCATCTGCTGCTGACTGTTCCTGGAGACCACTGATTGAAAGAGGACAGCAAGGCATGAAGTAAATTTACTACAGTGCTAGTTCCATTAAGCTTTCACTCTTGGGAGCATTTTGATATACTATTCATCCATTCTAGATTATTCAGTCAGACTCCTTTTAATAATTTTCTCTTAAAAGTAATTTATTTTTATGAGTAAATTACAAAAAAAGTCATCTAATCGAATGTTCTAGAATTTTCTGAGTTGAACTCAAATATGCCACTTACTGTTTCTATTTACTACTTTTATCATATAACCCCAAGAACTTATGACTTTTATGAGGTGCATTTTATGATGAATAAAATCTATGTTATCCAAATTAAGAATAATGGGGAAATGGAAGAAACTATACTTGGCAACAAGTAATTAATTTACTTCAAGAACTAAGAATATTTTTAGCCATGGTAAATAATTATTTTCATAATGAAGCACAGCCTCTCAGTTGCAGAGCCAATGCTAGCCCATAACATGCCTTGTGCAAATGAGAAAAGGTGCCCCCACATCTAGTCAGATGCAGCAGCAGCCCAGGGCACAGGCTCAATTTCCCACCCCTGCCCCTCATTGGCGCTCCTGGATAATGAACAACCAGCACACCTGACCTGCAGGTGTGTAGAAATATAAGGGTCATGTCTACTTACCATTTGACAGAAGACAACACTATTAAATCCCATCAGCTAAGTCAGGTGTAGGCCAAACCAACAAAACCAATGGCATAAAAGAAATCGTTCCCTCACCCAAGCTGAGACAGGTAGGGCATGACTCCGCTTTCTCGCAGGTAGTAGGTAACCACACCACTTCCGGGAGAAAGACTAGTCTTGATGTAAGGCTTCACATTCAGGCCAGCATCCACAGCTTTCTTTGCTAACAAGCCTGTAAAGTGGTAAACACAGGTACGATGGGTGGCCGCTTCCTCTACAGGCCAGGGGCAATTCAAAAAACAGACTGACTTTTCAGTCTGCATTTCCTGCCACCACCTGACAAAGCCCAGTTCATGTTGGCACTTTTTGCTATTTCTGCTGCCTCATAGAAACCAAAAGTTCCCTGGGACAAAGTCACTTACAGCAAACTCAAAATTAGTCATGGAAATGAAGAGGAGAGGTGCAAATTTTTTTTTTTTTTTGAAGATGTAAACCTAAAGCCATTTAGAAATACATTTCAGAATGAGTTTTAATTTTTGGAGAGAAAATGTTCTTTGTAATCAGATGAAAATTATAATTGGAGGGGCCCTTTCTTGAAGTATATAAATTGTGTGTATTGGTTGGTGAGGAATACAGTCTAGAATTTAAAATCTAGTCCTCAGATATTTCTTAAAGTAGAAGAACAAGGCTTCTTGCATCGTTGTACTTTTAGATTGTTACACGAACACTGGGTCCTCTGCCATAGAACACATCACAGAAGTAGGGAAGAAATGAGGGATGGGTAATAAGGAGACAAAAAGCTACTGACAAGTTTGGTGGTTTATTGAAGAAAACCGGTTTGCTCCAGATTAAGGAAAAAAACATAGGTGTCAACAGGTGAATTCTTGGAAAAAAGATGGTTTTCCTTCTACATTTGTCTCTTCACAAAGAAAAAATTGTGGCTATTCTTTGGTGTACAGGCACAAGAGTTTCTCATGGGGACGATTAAAGGTTTGGAAACTAAAGATTTCTTATTTAGGGAAAATGCCACATGTAAATATTAACTGCTTAACAAGAATTGCATAATATGCAGGTGAGTTTCATCAACCAGTGAGCGCTCTATGCCCTAATTCAGATGAGTCTAAATAGACTAAATTCCACTGTACAAAAATATTTATCATGGGTTTTACACAGAACAGTCTGTGACATGAAACCAGTTCTGTTTTTTTTTTTCTTCTTAAGTCTGACACAAGATTCTAGGTTTTACCAGAAAGTCCCTTCTTTGCTTTCCACCTTCTACTTATTTTTTGGTGTTAGTTCTGAAAAAGAATATTACACATCAAATATTCTACTTTTAATACTTTGCTTTGGAAACTACTGTAGTGTACCTATTTCTGAGCCAGAAAATATTGGCATCTAGAAAAAACAAGGCTCAGGAAACTAACTCCATGTTAGAACTCAGTGAAGTACTTGGGCCATGTCTTGGGAGATTTCTACTCACATGACAATGGGGAGGGGGATTCAAGTCACTTACCAGCTCCTAACATCACAGAAGGATTACTGGTGTTCGTGCAGCTAGTAATGGCAGCAATAACCACAGAACCATGAGCAAGGGTGAACTCACTATTATCATAAATAAACGTCTTGTAGTTGTTATGATGATCTGGAGCAACCTGGAATCCTTTAAACCCTTGCTATAAGAAGAAAAAAAATGTGTGCATAAATATAATATGTAACAATGTTATATATGTCCTCCAAAGTTCTCAGTTAAGAAGTACTTGGGTAACTATAAATTTAAAGGCCAGTTATTAACAAAACATAAATAACCCCGCCATTTCTGAAATGCTACAGAAAAATCAAAGTTCTCTTTATTCTTTTCAAATTTTTTAAAAAAGCAGTCATAACTCCTCAATATTAGTCTGTTTTGAAATTATTACCAGTTACTTCCACCCTACCTCAAAAATGGAGATGCTTAAATTTAGTTTAACATGAATCTAATTAGAACTCCATGACATTATTGTGCAATTGTGTACCGAGGTCACTGATCCTAGCATTATGGAAATTCAGAAAAATGTGCCATTTTGGTCAGATTTAACTAATCATAATCAATAAGGCAAACAAAGTTCAGGTACACCTTATTTTATTGCACTTTGCACATACTTGACCAGCCAAAAGATGATACAACTTGCTGAAGGCTCAGAGATGATTAACATTTTTTTAGTAAAATTAAAGTATGTCCATTTTTTAAAATATATAATGCTATGGCATACTTAACAACTACAGTATAGTATAAATGTAACTTTTTAGATGCACTGGAAACCAAAAATTCACCCGACTCACTTTATTGCGACATTCACTTTGTTAGTCTAGAACTGAACTCTCAATATCTCGAAGATGTGTCTGTATTGCTGAACATTTGGTAGAATGCTGGTGGCCCAAAGATAAAACCCATCATATAGCTTAATCATTCGTTCAGAAAATGTTCATTGAAAATCTACATACAAGGAGTTATACTTTTTTTTTTTTTAAGATTTATTTATTTATGCATACAAGAGCTGGGGTGTAAGGCAGAGGTGCTGGGGGAGGGGGGCGTGAAGGTGTGGGAGTGGTGAGAAGATTCACCAGAGACAGAGTGGGGAACAGAACAGGAGGATTGACTGAAATACACTGCTGAGGGGAGCACAGCAGGCAAGACAGGAGAGGTCTACTGCGCCATGTGGGTCACCTCCCTGCCCGGGGATCGAACTCGGGCTGCACCACCAGGGAGGCCCCTATGCTAGTATTTTGTAGAATACAAAGAAGATTATGACATAATACCTATCTTCAAACTTCCAGCACAGTAAAGGAAATCAGATTTGCAAATAACAAAGTGTCAATGATGGAAGTTAAAGGCTATGGGATGCCATTAAAAGGTTTCAAATCAAATGCTATGAAGGCTCAAGTGATGGAAAGACGGCTTTCTGCCATGAGATCTGACGCCACATTGTGGAGTCACTGACAGATTAGGACATGCAGACGGGGAAGAGGAAGGCAGGCAGGGAATGACATGAACGACGTGCAATGGTCAGAAAAGCTTGGGCAAGTAGAACAATGTGATGAGACCTACTAAAAAAGTGAACAGGTTTTAAAAGTGTGCGTTGAATTGTGGGTACAGACTGTCATGTGCCCTGAGGAAGATGCTTGGCTCTCAGCTAATGGGAGAAGCATTAAAAACTTTTGGAAGCAGAAGAAACAGCCTTACTTCCAGGCTTCAGGAAGATTGAATGGAGTGAAAAAAAGCCGGAATGCTAAGAAAACAGGCAGGGGCAGGAGGTCAGGGGCAGGAGGTCAGGGCCCTGTTTCCCCTCGGTCCCTACCTTGGCTCCAAGGCAGCTCTCAAAGTCCTTTTTCATGTCAGAGATGGCTACTTTGTCCTGAGGCCTTTTGGGCCCACTGCAGCAAGGCACTACTGTTTTCAAATCTAATTCTACAACCTGCCGACACAAAAGAAAAGGACATGTAGAAATGACATTATTCTCATGAAGAAAAAAACGTAATCCAGGCCATATCATTTAAAACACCCCAAAAATAACAAACAAACTAAATCATGACAATGAAAAGCAAGAAAGTAAATATTCTACTACATAGGGGATGGGTTTCCAAAGATCAAGATGGATGAGTGGCAGGCAGGAAGTCTTGCCATCTCTAAGAATGGGCAGGTGGGCACTGTCTGCCATCTGCCCATCTTTGTCAAACAGCTCATATGTCCTTTTATTGTTTAGGTTAGTCTGAGGGGGAGTTTTCTACTGAAAATGACACACTGTACTTTTTCTAAGATGAGGGATGCTCTATTAAGTCATCAATGCCAGGAAATGGGCCCAATATTCAGTATTCTAGTATTTCCTTCCCTTAATGTTAATGGAATAGAAAACAAATCAAGGGTCTCACATCTAATTTACCCTCCAATTTGGTTGCTAAGAAAAATGTGGATTCAGTTGGCAACCCAGAAAATGAACGAAGGTTAAGTCATTGTATAAATCAGAAATAACTGATACGTCTGCACCTCCATTTCTTTTCCTAGCTATAGTAATGATGAACTTAAAGCCTTCACATAGCTCCATTCCCTCTAGGAAATTCCACATAAGAGGAATAAGTTGTAGTTCAGAAGGGGGAAAGCACTTGGGATCTAATGGCCAGGAGCAACAGAAGTCATAATATTTGATTATGTGTACAATTCCTTATCTTTTCGATTTTTCAGCCTTTTACTATCTTGTTCTTCTGCGATGACTTGTCAGTGACTGACTTCCTATATGTATACCCCCCAAAATAAACATACATACAACTAAAGTCACAGCCTTGAGGAAGAAAACATGAGGTGCTCTCATACCTGGGCAAAGTCTGGGTCCTGCGAGGGATCACTGAAGTCCCGAAACATTCCCACAGCCTGCAGGTACTTTTTAATATGATTTACTTTTTTTTCATCACGACCTAAATGGGCATTTTAAGAAGTAACAGGTAACAGGTTAAACTTGCACCTCTACCAGCAATTATATAAATAAAATGCATTTTACTCATACATACACCAACAACTCTGCTGATATTTCAGCTTTAGAGTAACAGTCTACAGAGCTGCTGCTGGTGGTTATTAGAGGCCACTAGCTGATCTGGTGTTCCCGTCAAAGTGACTATTTTCTGAAGAAGTATGTCTTTCCTCTTTGGGTATAGTCCTCAACCAGGAGTCCCTAAGCCTTCGCTTGTCATCAAAGTACACCTGTGCATCTGCCTTCATTTGGCCACACTCCAAATTCCATGGTATTCTTGTTAAACTAACAATCCTTTTGGTCTCCCACCACAAACCACCAGCTATGAGCACTTCCGGTATGCTCAGCACCACATGCTAAACATTTTAAATGCATTATTATCTCAATCTCTGGTTCTGTATCATGACCTTATGAGACAAGTACTGTCATGATTCTCCTTTATAGAAGTGCAAATGGTAGCGCAAGAAGATTAAGTAAATTTCCCATGGAACACAGACAGCCTGGCAGCACCAGATCTGAATGGGGGTTTGACGCCAAAGTCCAAAGTCTTAGCTCAAAACACTGTATCACAAAGACTATGACCCTGGACACTCTGCTTTTTAATTCTTATCAAGAAACTCATTGTAGGCAATAAAGCACATGAAGCATGCCTAACACACGTGTGGTCCACCCATTTCTCTGACAGCTGAATAAGACTGATAGTTCAGTAGTGACCCACAACAGATCGGCTTTTTCCCCATTTTAATTGGGTTGTAAAGATTATCAGTTTTCAGCATGGACTTCACAAAAGATGAGTATCCAAACTTCATGTCATGACGTGTTGTTGTGCCCACTGTTTAGGACATCTAATGCCATCTTTTCATGAAGACGCATGGGAGAAACTTCTCTTAGGTTTAGCATGAGAAACTATCTACTTCTGTTTCAATTTAACAGAAATTACAAGTTTGGTACCAGCTCACTATGAAGTGTAGTGACCACATCTAGAGCCTCAGGAACTAATCTTAGCTCTGGATATATTTTGCAGCTTTCCCTCCCCTCCCACTACCTCTTCCCTTCTCTCCTTTAGGTTGATTCTCTCCACTATTTATTCTGTTCCTTTATTCTGTTCCTACTATTTATTCTGTTCACTTTGGAGTAGTAAGAGATATTAATGTGGTTGTAGGAAATAAAAACTTCTAAAAAAATAAACATTTTTATCACACCTGCTGTATAACTCCTTCCAGAGAAACAGTTTCCCTCAGGAAAACTGGGGAGAAGACTTGGATTTCCTTGAAGTCTGATCTTCAGTTTTCTCTATTAATCAATAAGTCAATCAAGCTAACCCATGGCTCTGTGAAGAGGAGGAGAGCAACTACAAACCAAGTGTCTGGCAGATGCCAGCAGATGAGGTCTGCTTACTTAGTGACCATTTCCAAGATCACTTGTATCATGTTAAATAACTAGTAGAGGAAGACCAGTGTAAGTAGCTAGGCTTCCGGGAGTGCTTGTGCGCTTCCGATTGGTCATACCATGATACCTTCTTAAATTCAACAACCATCTGACTCCACAAAGAGAACAATTAAAACTTGTAAACCTGATCTAGCACATTCCAAAGGGCAAAGGTAGAAAGTAGTGCTCCAATTCTCAGTGTCCTATAAAGTGCCACAAAGGGCCTCTTGCACTTACCTGTCTGCACCAAGTACTTGATACTAACTTCATCAACTGGGAAAAAGGCAGCAGTTGCTCCATACTCTGGGCACATGTTGGCAATTGTAGCTCGGTCAGCAATGGACAATTGGGCTACTCCTGGCCCGAAGAACTCGACAAATTTGCCTACAACCCCAACCTGGCGGAGGTGCTGAGCAGAATAACAGAAAAATTTGAGACCTGATAGCTCATATTTAAAATGCAGAATTATCACCTCATATTTCTTATTAACTAGCCTTGTCAGTAAACACAGTAAGTTCATTTACTGGTTTTCAATTTGCAATAAAAATAAAACCTAAGGGCTTCTTGGATTGGATCCTGGAATAGAAAAAGGACATTACTAAAAAAAAAACAACAACAACAAACTGGAAATGCTTAGAAGTATTAAAAATTAAATAAATCAAGCTAAATAAATTATGACTTGTACTAGCTGAGTCTTAGCTTGTTTCTAAGGGCATAATGAAGAAATTTCTTTAATACAGGTCTAAGTCAAATGTAGCCAAAAGATTATCTGACTCTTTTCCAAAAAACCCATCAGCCTCAGTGACTGACTTGGTGCTGTGGGAAGCCACATGGAAAGCCTGTTTTGGCTATACTGAGATTTTGTCAAGTTTTGTGGGTAAGCTCTACATTTTTCCCATCTGAAGAATAATGCACAGACATCTATGGTAAGCCACGGCATGCAAATAAACCCAAAATCAGATTCCATAAAGATAAAACCAAGAACTTTTTCTGACTTTTAACAGTACTGTATCCATCTCAAACACCTCATGCCTTCAAACTATCCAATCAGAATCATTTATGTTTGTGACAATTAAAAAAAAAATCACTTTCTATAACTTTGCAAAGTGAAATTGCCTTTTGTAAAAAGAAGCAAATCATCAAAAGCATTATTTACTACAAGGGTTAAAGAAAAAAACCTATTTTCTAGCTGAGAGAAACATCTGCTATAGTAAGATAAACTACAGAGAAGTAAACAAAGTCAAACAATTATAGTAACAATTTGTTATTTACATATAAAGAAGAACCTTGTGGGATGGGTAAAATATAAACACATGTACAAGAATGATACCCACAACCTCAGGATAGTGGTTATTTCTAGGAATGGGGAAGATGGCTTTAAGGATGGTGTAGCCATAAATATTATATTTTATTTCTTAAAAAATATACACAGAGTTCTCAAGCAAATGTGACAAAATGCATCTGTTAAGTCATGAATGTCATTTTAACTTCTGTGTATTTCCCCAATTTTGCAATTTTAAAAAAATTTTTAACAAAAAAGATACATGCAGTAGCAGATTAAAACATACTTATCTAAAACTCAATCCCTTATCTCTCTTCTTATCTCATCATGAACATACTGCTTTTTAGGATTTCTAGAGAATGTGGAAACCAAGAGAGACTGCATCATGTATCTCCTCTCTGTTTGTCACTGGGGAGTGGCAGCATATCATTACCTTGGTAATGGTGAGCACGATGTCAGTGGACGTTACCAGGGGGTGGGGGTTCCCCATCAGCTTGTAGCCAATCACTTGGGGAAGCACCATGCTGATTGGCTGACCCAGCATGACAGCTTCTGCTTCGATACCACCCACACCTGCAAGGAATGGAGGAACAGAATCATATTTTCCTTCTTTTTCACTCTATCCCTCATGCATAATTCAATGCCTTAGATAATAATCCAATTACAATGCTTTACTAGTATGTTCCTTTAAAGACCAGTTACCTATTTTCTACTTCCCTCTTCAGAATTCTTTTTTTTTTTTACATTTTTTTTTTAAATTTTTATAGAGGCATGTTTTTATTTATTTATTTATTTGTTTGTTTGTTTTGTTTATACATGCACTGGGTACAGTCAGAAGCGCGGGAGGGTGAGAGAATTCACCAGAGCCAGAGCGGGGAGCAGAGCAGGCAGAAGGACCGAAGTACACTGCTGAGGGGAGCAGCGGGCGGCAGGAGAGGTCTGCGCGCCATGTGGGACCCTCCTCCGGTGGCCGGGGAGCAGCTGGGGATCGAACCTGCGCCGCAGAGGCCGCGGGCAGCTTCGCAAGCCAGCGCTCAACCGCTGCGCCACCGGGGAGGCCCCCTCTTCAGAATTCTTAAGTATTTCTCAGTGTGGTCCCCCCACACCTGTATCAAAATCCCCTCGATTCCACACCAAAGGGAGAGTTAGGGGCCTCCCTGGTGGTGCAAGGGTTAAAGTCTCAGTACTATCAAGCTATTGCCAGTCACTGTGGTTCAATCCCCACCGGTTTGCTGACCCATGTGGCACAGCAGACCTCTCCTGTCTCACCTGCTGCTCCCCTCAGCAGTGTATTTCAGTAGATCCACGTGTTCTGCTCCCCCACTCTGTCTTCGGTGAACCCTCTCTCTCTCTCTCTCTCTGTCTCTCTCTCTCTCTCTCTCTCACACACACATACACACACTCCCTGCACCTCTGGTCTGTACCTCAGTTCTTGTATGCATAAATAAATAAAATCTTAAAGTAAAACAAAACAAAACAAAAAAACAAAGGGAGAGTTGGGGTTAGGAGTCTCTAATTCTAACACACTAGGTGATTTTCATATTTTTTTTTAAAAGATTTATTTATTTTATACAAGAACCAGGGTACAGGCCAGATACGCGGGATGGGATTCACCAGATACAGAGCAGGGAACAGAACAGGCAGACTGATGAAACACACTGTTGAGGGGAGCAGTGGGTGTGACAGGAGAGGTCTGCTGCGCCATGTGGGACCCTCACTGGCCAGCCGGGATCAAACCGGCACTGCAGAGGCTGCGGACAGCTTCACAGAGCTGTGCTCAACAGCCTGCGCCACCAGGAGAGGCCCAATTTTCATATATTATTAATGTTCCTAATCCTTATTACAGTTCATCCTTCCCAATATTATTATTGAATGCCTCAGTATATACTTCTCTGGGCACTGGAAATCATAGCAGTAGATGACACAGACAGAAATTCTTCTCTGATACTTGTGAACATGCAAATTCATGCTACTGGCATCAGAGTAAATTAGGGCAAACCATAGAAGAGCATACATAGAACAGGAACCTGGAAGATCACTCACCCCAACCAAGAACACCCAAACCATCAATCATGGTAGTGTGCGAATCCGTGCCCACAAGACTGTCTGGGTAATAATATCCATCTTGATCAAATACCACTCTTGCCAAATACTCCAGATTCACCTGGTGGATGATCCCTGAGCCAGGAGGAATGATCCGCATGTTGCGAAAAGCTTGAGAACCCCACTAGAATTGAAAAATGGAAAGCATACTATGAATGCCTGTCGTACTTCTCCACAGCCTGTCTCCTTCACGCACCCCTCTCTCAGGCCCTTCAAGTCAGCCAGTGTAATAAAATTCTGCCCATACCTTTAAAAATTCAAATCGTTCTCTATTTCTTTCAAATTCTAGGTCTTGATTCTTCTGTAAACTGTCTGCCCTGTTGGAGAGAAAAACTATATATGTAAACTTAGTTTAGAGACTTAAAATGTCACTGGCCAAATTTATTGGAGATGAATAAACAAAATGGCTATTTTATCTGCAGACTTACTGGCTGGCACTGATGCATTAATTTATAGGGGAGAGGTAATTAGTGAAAGTATTAATAATAATTATTATTTGGTTTAAGTGGCTCTTACCTTGCTTTAAACATAGGGGGTAGAACACAGTAAGTGAATTCAAGCCACAAATAATATAGTCAGTGTCTGCCTCTTAGGAAAACACTGTATATCTATATCACAAATACCTCAGGCAGCACAAACTCAGTGGGTCAAACCCTAATACGTGACTTTCTCTCCTAAGTCTCTTCTTCCTATCTGTCCACATGTCATCTAATGAACTTCTCGCCTACCATTTAGTACTTACAACTATCATAGTATTTATTCCAGAAATAGCCTCCTAACTGATTTCTCTGTCAGTCTATTTTTTTAATCTTTCTTTTGTGTGTCACCAGGATTGATTTTCCAAAACACATCACTAGTCAGAATAATCAAGCAAGAGAAAGATATAAAAGGAATCCAAATTGGAAAAGGATAAGTAAAATTATTGCTTTTCGCAGATAAGATACAAAAAAACCCTTAAGACAGCACTAAAAAAGTATAATAAACAAAGCAATACAGCAAAATGGAAGACTACAAAATCTATACAAGTCTGTTGCATTCCTATACACAGTGAACAAAAAACAAAGAAATCAAGAAAAAAGTCCTACTTACAATATCATCAAAGAACATTAAATACCTAAGAATAATCTAAACAAAGGATGTGAGAGACCCTATTAAATGAAAAGTATAAGACATTGTTAAAAGAAATTGAAGCAATATAAAAATCTAATGCAAAGTTTTGATGGAATTCTTTAATGAACTAGAGCAAACATTACTGAAGTTTATATGGAACCACAAAAGACAATGAATAGACAAAACAGTCCTGGAAAAAATGAGGAAGAATGGCAGTATTATGCTCCCAGACTTCAAACTATAGTAAAAGGCTGTAATAATCAAAACAGTATGGTATTGGAATTAAAAAAATACACAGACCAAGGGAACAGAATTGAGAACCCAGAAATAAACCTATACTTACGTGGACAGTTAATACACAACAAAAAGCCAAAAATATATGCTGGAAAAGGGAGAGTTTCTTCAATAAATAGTGTTCACAAAATTGAACAGCCACATGCAAAAGAATGAAATTAGACCACTCTCTCATATCACAGACAAAAACTAACTCAAAATGGAATAAAGACTTGGCTGTAAGACCATGACTTTGGTCTTACATAGGCAATATACAGACAAAAACACAGGCAAAACAATGCACGACAGCAGTTTCAGAGATGTCCTTGGGGACACAACTCCAAAAGCAAGGTAAACAAAAGCAAAAATAAGCAAATTGCATGATATCAAGCTAAAAATCTGCACAGTGAACAAAAAGACACTCTCCTGGAACAGAAAATATTTGCACATCATATTTCCAAAAGGGGCTAATATCCAAAATCTACAAAGAACTAATACAACTCAACAAAAAAGAAAACAAATAACCCAATTAAAAAATGGGCAGAGGAGTTAAAGGGACACTTCTCAAAAGAAGGCATACAGATGGCCACAGGGACATGAGAAAAATGTTCAACATCACTTACCATCAGGGCAATACAAATCAAAACCACAATGAGATAACATCTCACTCCCCCAAAGCGTTCACATCAAAAAAACCTGAAACAACAAATATTGGCAAGGAATCCTTATACTTACGCTGTTGGTGGAATTGTAGGCTTGTCCAGCCTTTATGGACTAGAGTATGGAGGTTCCTCAAAACATTGAAAACAGATCTACCATATGCTCCAGCAATTCCACCTCTTGGTATTCCTCAAAACATTGAAAACAGATCTACCATATGCTGCAACAATTCCACCTCTTGGTATTTGTCCAAAGAATACAAAAACACTAGTTCGAAAGGATATATGCATTCCTATGTTCACTGCAGCACTATTTACAATAGCCACGCTATGGAAACATCTTCAGCGCCCAAGGGCAGATGAGTGGATTAGGAAGATGAGGTATATATACATAATGGAATGCTACTCAGCTTTAAGAAGAGATGAAATTTTGCCATTTGCAACAACATGGATGAAACAGAGGGGATTATGCTTAGTGAAATAGGTCAGAAGAAAAGACAAATATTGGTTACTTTCATTCATTTATGGAATACAGAGAAACAAAGAAACAGACAAAACTAGCTAAAACAAATCCAACAATATGAAGCTATCAGAAGGAGAGGGTGAGGTGAGAGAGTAAGTGGGGTAAGGGTCCATCAGACTATCAGACTGTGGTGGGTATGGTCGAGAAACATACATATGAAGAGGTATGAATCTATACCCCTAAAATATAGTGATGTAAATCGATGTTACCTAAAAAACAAAACAAAAACCACACCGATCATCATGGCCCATCTCACATTTGTCAACAGCTTTCCATTTTCTAATAAAGAAGAAATATCTTGCCTTAAAAAACCAAACATTTTTATAAGCCCTCTCCTACTCTCAGTCCAATTTTTCAGCTTCAGTCATACTGCAGCCCTCATATTCTCCCCAAGCTCCACTTTCCTCATGATTTGAGCACTCTATTCTCTGTGTAGAATTACTTTTTCAGTTCTTCTCATCCGAACAAACCCTTCAGGTTCCAGCTCAATTGATACTCCTTGAAGGGCCCTCTGGCTCCCCAAGACAGGGTGATTTGCCTCCTTCTCTGTGGTTAATACACTTACCAAATGCATTAAAGTTATGTTCATTAGCTCCCTCCTCTTCTAAACTAACCTGCTTTCTTTAACACTGGAACACAGTAGGTCTGTTAAATGGATTCAAGTTTTTTTAAAGGGTCATGTCTTTGAATACTATTCTTGATCACAGGCAGGCCCCTGCCTCTGGAGCCTCCACCTCGTCTGTTGCACTGACGCTTGTGGACGCCCAGTCATTACCCCTTGTCCTCTTGCCTCAGCACCAGGGAATGTCAGAGCTTCTCACAGCAGAAGCAGGGCTAAAAGGGGAACATTACCCCAGAGAATGCCAGAAACATCAGTTTAATATAAACAGCATATTCACAAGACAAGCAGAAACCAGAAACACTTAGGCTGTCTTAGCTTAATTTCAGGTAAAAACCTTCTTATATATGAAAACAAAACATTGACTATGCTAATTTGGCTCAATTAACTTACTCCAAGTTATTGGAATGAACAAACAGACCTGGAATTCTGATTTTTCCACCACTCACAACTTTCCTAAATTCATCCAGCCCAGTGTGCTTTTAACATAGTCTGACTGTGAATGGCCCACAGACTAAAGAGGAAATTTGTTAGTTACATGATTTTAATTCAGTTTGGACACAGTTCACAATTTCTAGTATTACATGTAATGTTATTTGAAAAATTCACAAATGAGATACTTCTCCCACTCATGAAATCTGATCATAAAGTGCTATTATATTTTTGTTGGGATTTTTTAAAAAAGTTATTTCTGAGATAACTTTGTAAAACATTACTACATTAGGTGCTCAATTCCTAAAGATGGCGTGATGCCAGTATTACTCAAAACAGGCAACAAAGTTAGATATACTTAACTGAGGAAAAAATGAACTTTCACCAACCACTACCCAATTTTTCTTGTTCATTTCTGGGAGATACTGGAAACAAGCCCATAGCATACAGTTCCTCCAAGCCTGAGACATATCACATTTAATTCCTTACAAAAATGAGGAAACAGTCTGGGAGGTCAAATTGCAAAACCAAACTCAAGAAATAAAAACAAAACACCACAATGAAAACACTTCTAACAGAAATGTTCTCTTTTACTAACACATAAAAATAGTGTTGCTAGATCTGGATACCAGTTTGGATTACAGTTAATCTCTGGGCCTTGCTGTTTTCATCATCACGTTTTTTAGTATTACAATGTCAATGAAAAAGGTCCATAAAAAATTAAAGCCAGAGTTGACAGATATCAAGGTTTAAAGAGAAAAAAATTACAGTGAACTTGGTGATGACCCAGATTCATTAAGAGCTAACAGGAGCCCTTTGAATGGTGAGTCAAAACACACTGAAATAATTACATTATTGTTCTCAGTAGTACTTTCACCTTCCAGACTAGTAGAAATGAAGGTAAATCCATGAACACCAATGACAACTTTGCCAAAAAGGTAAAGTTGTCATGATTTTGTGAGGCTATTTTTATAATTTCTGAAGTGGGATGTCAGGAAAAATCTTTATTCTCAAACAGGATAACATTTTATGTGTGTATTTTTAACTCTTCCCTTTGAAACCAAAATATTAAAGTGAACTAATGATTTAAGACAAGGAAAAAAGGCATGTTGCTAAAGGAAAGCGAAGAGCTGGTCAAACCCAGTCTGTTTGCTCAGTTCATGGACAAAGTAGATTTCTCCTTATCCTGAATTCATCTCATTTAGATAATGGCAATATTAATTTGAGAATAATCAGTTTCTACATTTCTCTTGAAGTTGTATGGAATCCACTTAAATCCCCAAGGAAACAAATAAAGCCTTTTATTTTCTCCTTTGAATGGTTTCATAGTCTTAAATAACTTTTTCTTATGAAAACAGTAGCTTATTCTAAAAATAAAGAACAATTAGAATTCCAGAGATCATCATTTAGTTATTTGGCACCTCTCTTTAGAGTTATTTAATCTCTGCTAACTCTTCTTCATCTAGCTGAGATCACTCGACATATGCAATTTATATTTGGCTCACTGAACTATGAGTAACATGGTCCAAGTGTTATTAAGAACAATAGAGATATAACTGTAAAGGCTCCCTAATAATTCACTTTAAGGACATACCATAATTTAACAAATCATTTTCCTTTGCTGAACATTTAGAATACTTCTAAGTTCTCATAAATAAGACCTTAATGAATACTATTCAGTCATAAGGTTTTTCTGAATTTCAGATGGTGGAAATTCCAAGAAAAGGGTATGGAAATTTCTAATTTACAGTGTTATCAGTAGTGTATAAAAGTGTCACCCTCCTTGCACCTCTATAATTAATAATGTTTGTTTTCTAATCTTAACTATGCTGATAAGAGAAAATGGCATCTCAAGGATTTAATTTACTTTTTTATTACTTGTAAGGTTGAAAGCTTTCTACACTATTTACCCTTTGCATTTCCTGGTATTATGAAATGTCCACTTCCTTGTCCATTTATCTGCTGAGTTTCACTATTTTTTTAAATAGATGGTACACATTCTTTATTAAAAATATTCATTCTTTTATGCAAATCAAGTTATTTTGTTATCTTTGAAGTCACTAAATCTTTAGATTGTTTTCCTTTTCTGATTCAATCATTGCTTCTAAATTTAGAAAGGTCATTCTCATCAAATTATCTGACATGTACATAAATTTTTTGTGATTTAATTCTAAAAATATTAATGCTTTAATTCATATGAACATTTCTCTTCACTAAAGTAAATTTTCTCAGAATTGTGCAGAAAAGCTATTTCTTGCCCCACTGATAGCTGATAATAACATTATCTAGGTATACTTCTAAGTTAAGATACCAGCCTTCCAGCAGTATCTGGTTGCCCTCCTGTTTCAAAACCCTGTTGTATAATCTGGCAGTTATTTCTACAAAAGATGGAACTGTGGGCTTGAGTGTGTGACTTGCTTTGATTAATGTCATTGTGAATAAGTGTTATTCTATGCCAGTCCTGATCTAGCCCTGAAGAGCTATTTCAAATTCTTTGCTGGCCCTCCTGAGCCTCGGCAATCTCCCAATAGCTGCTGCTTCCTCCAGGCTGGGCTAACAAAGAGATACATAGAATCCAGTTGTCCCCTTGCAGTGCAGGCAGAGCTGTCAACCCAAGCACTGCAGCATGAAGCATGCTGCCCAAGTGCATGTGCTCAGATAAGTTGCACTCCCAACCAATATGCAGGTGTGTAAAAAACACATGGTCATCATTGCCTGCCATTGAGATTTTAGGGTAATTGGTAGAATTCTGTCAGGAAGAAAGAACTGGATCTCTCAAACAATAGAAGAAAGAACAAAAAAAAAGAAGGGGATAAGCATTATAGACATCCACATGGAGAGGCAAAGATAGCCAGATATGAAATAGTTACTTGGAATCAAGGAATAAGGCTCTAGTAGTTAGAAAAAAACACCAAATCCTCTTAAAGCCAACACATACTTGTACTGCCAAGCTCTCATGGATGAAATTCATGTGTGTGTTCTTCACTAGATCCTAAACTGGAGTTAAACACAAGCTGCTCCCACCCATGAAAGAGGGGGGAAAAAAAGGTTTAAAGACTACAAATCAGAGACTTTCTGTAAGGGACGGGGAGTAGAGGGATCAAAACAGGGGAGAGAAGAGCACAAGGGACTATGGTGATGGTTCATGGGTGAATTGGTGAATTGGTGGTGGGAATTTTATGGGGAATATACCTGAAAGGAGAAAGCATTCAAAAGCATGCATTGTATAAAAATGAATAATGATGTAATATATATATATATATATATATATATATATAATATATAAGTATAAAGAAAGAACTGTATCAACTCCCTCAAAAGGTATTCTCTGGAAATTCTATATTAAGTTTGAATTTTCCTGAATATATTTTTTCAAAGATTTTCTTCTTTCATTTAATTACCCACTCCCCACACAAGATTTTACACAAAGCAGAAGATCCAGGTTTTTATCTTAATCTCTCACCTTCTGTTGAAATCAACCTGGATGGAATGATCAATTACAAGATCAGCAGGACAGACAGGGTTTATCTTCTCTGGATCTCCTCCTAACTTTTTCACAGCATCACGCATTGCAGCAAAGTCAACCACAGCGGGCACACCCCTAAGGAAAGGGAGAATTAAGCAGAAAACAAATCTGTTAAGGTGTAGTTGGATTTTTCAGGTTTGCCTCCACTGATAATACTGGCAGTAGGGCTGTCTCATCAGTGGAGTTGACTATGGATGACTCAGAATGTGAAAGTTTCTAAACACATTTCCTTGAGCAGAAATCAATTAGGCAGTAAATGCCAAGACTGAGTAGTATCTCCATATGCAATTTTATCACTGCATTAAAGCTGAATATGATGAATACAGTCTAACTAGAGACACTATGGGGATGCTTAGTGACTCTGGAACTTTTATTGCCATGACTGTTTCCCATTCATGTGGTGGGATGACAAACACCTGGAAATGACATACAAATCACACCTTCAACTTCAGGCTGAATTTAAAGGGCTGGAAACAATTCAGAAAAGTAGGCTATGAATCAAATTTATATTAAGTGAATTCTTCCCTTTTACTATGTCAGAGTATAATATTTGGGTGATCTTCCAGTAGAAAAAATAAAACTTGGTTTCTAGAAGGATGAAATACTATCATTTAAAAATGTTAAATAGAGGCTGTGATGGGTAGCAAAGATTTCTGGGAATAGCAGGATGTGAACTAAGGTTTAATGGCAACAAGTCAGGCCCTGTGAACTACGTCTCTCTCCTCAGGGGACAGCACATCAATGTCCCAAGGTCAGCTGTTTGGAACCTAGTTCCCTGGGTGACGGACATGGGGGAGTAAAGATTCCAGGATCACTCACCCCAAGCTGTTTCTTTCACCATTTGCTAGTATCATGTAGGACCAGGATCTTTGAGACCAAAGATGACAACCCTTATCATAGGAAAAGGTTAGTGTCTACACACCCCAATTTACCTGAGACAATCCTGATTGACTCCCAGTATTGGCTGGGTGTTAACAGCCTACTTTTGCTTTCAAAAGTGTCAGGAATTTGGGTGATAAGTTACACAGTTGCTCTGTGTGTGTGTGTGTGTGTGTGTGTGTGTGTAAAGCTTTCTCTAAAGGCTGACAAGATGGGCAGAGGAAAGTAAGGTGATATTAAGCTCACGTAAAGTCCTGCAGGATGACGCGAGCAGGTTTAAATGGCACTTCTATGTTCTTATGCTGCATGACATTCCAATTTAGGATATTTTCAATGTCATTTTTCTTCACCAAAAATTGATCACAGTTCCGAACAGCTGCCTCCAAGAGAACTCTGATAGAAAATGGTAAGCGTCCTAGGAGTAAAGGAGAAAGTGTAACAAAATAAACACCATGAAACACCTTATTATAAGAGTTCTTCAAAGTCAATCTTCATATAAGTTTGATACCAGACATTAGACTGTTCTTCCAATGGTGAAAAGGTAATGTCTAAAGTGATCAACAGTTTGTGGCTATTGAATGGTTTCTAGAAACATTCAGTAGTAGAAATAATCTGCAGGCTTGGCAAAAATAAAATATTACAGTTTATTCTTTCACATTAACGCTTACCTTGCCTTAGATTGCAATCACAGAAAATGTTCCTTAAGTCACCATGAAAGAAATTTGTCTAAATGTTTATCGTAGTATTTGTTAACACAGACTAATTTCTCTTATGAAAACTAATGTTCAAGAAATGAGAAAATAAACCATTTCAATTATGGCAATTAAGGCCAAATTATAGTCATGTACATCTTTCAAAGGAAATAAGACCTTACACATAATGCAGTCTGGCTACTAGCAACTGGAATTTCTAAAAATAAAACCATAGTAACTCATAAGGAAAACTATTTTGTTTATTTGTAAAGTAAAGTTTCATCCTGAGACAGGAAAATTATTTACCAATAATATCTGGAAAAGGCAAGAGTGCAAAGGCAGAAAGAGCACAGGATGTGGAATAAAAAAGATGGTGTCTTTATCCTCTGCTGCCCACACACGTGTTATTTGATCATGTCATTGACCCTCTCTGGGCTGCAGCTTCCTCAGGACTATAAAATATACATATTTGTAAGTACTGGGTTTCTCCTATTGATTATGGGGGGAAATTCAAACGTACACATTTGAATTTTGTACCTTTTAGAATATTATGGTAACACTCTGAAAAGTTAATGTATTATAACAGTATTTCCTTGGCTTTATTAATAAAATTATATAAAAATTTAAAAGAAGGGCATCTTTCATTTTATAATCACGATCCCATTAGGGTAGCTATTAAATAATATGTATGTACAAAGACTATACTATAACGTGTTATCAGAATGCTACATGTATATAATCACTGTTAGCCACTTACGCAAGAGCAATGTAAGAAAGGTGTGGGTGAGCTATGCGTCTGTGTGTTTAATCCAGCACCATATAGTCATTTTCTGCTGCTCCCTCTTCCAACTCTCCTAAAGGCTAATTAATTACATAGCTTTATTATTATGAGAGGAACATTCTAATTGCGTTGGAGCAATTACATCACAGAGCTGTATACCTACCATATCTTGAATCCTTCAATTTATTCAGATTGAAGAATTTCTTTCCTGGTTCTGTAGGATCCAAAGGCTCAGCAAGATGTGCAAATGGGTTGCTCATGATTCCTGATACCCACGTGTCCCTGAGAAGGAAAGAGAACATGTAAACTGATGTTCAAAGAGAGACAGGACTTATTCTGATGAGTGTCTGTTCTCTTTAATGACAGTACAGGTTTCCTTTGGGTTTCACTTCTTATCTTTTCAAAGTAGGGGGAAGGTAGGACATAAATGAATTTAAGAACAATATTCTTAGCAAATAAAATGAGCTTCTGTGGAAGGCAGCATTTGCCTCACAAGAGAGCAGAGCATCTGAAATGTCTTTAGTCTTATTTCTACAACTCCTGGAAGTGAAGGATGTGTCTTGTGGTAAATCTTAAACATATGAACAGACCTCTTAGCTGGACTCATGTCTGGCTGGGCAGGAGGTAAGAAGTCCACAGCAAGTGACATTATGCAACAAGTTTAAAACCTGAACTTTGGAAGTGGGAACATGAAAACAGTTGTTTTCTGCTGTAACAGTCTCTGCAGCATTTTAAAAAAACAGGTTAGTTAGAAATCTTTCTGATTCACTTTTGCATTTGGCAGCAGCAGTGTGTCCACATCTGGGGATCTTTAAGGTACACTGTGGTGGCATAAAGGCCCAAACTCCCCAGATGTGTGTGAAAAGGAGCCTGTATCCCTTCTGCTCTGGGCAGGCCTTCTCCTATATTTCTTTACATATTACAAGCAGTAAACAAGAAAGGACACTGTTCCTGGCCTCCACCACACAGATATAAACAGCGATTTCAAATAACTCTACAAGGTAGAGGAAAATTCCCTGGGGTAGGAGTCAGAAAGACTTGACTTTCTAAATTACTGTGCAGGTTTACAGCATGAGGACCAAATCAACTCAACTATGGGCCCTACTTGACCAAAGGACCACCAGTCTGTCACCTGTCCCAACTTACCCCGGCAGATGATCTGGACCAGAAGAATGATAAGGCAACCAGAATGGGAAAATCTAGGTAAGAAGCAGTGGACAGGGTGGGGATGAGGACAGTCCTGAGCAGGCAAATAGATGCAGCAGCTGAAATAGAAAACAAGTGGTGGACTAATTAAAAAGCAAAGATTTTTTAATACTGAATTTGCAAAATTTAGGAAAAAATGGTTGTTGAGTGACTGGAGAATCATTAAGGGGGAGAAGAAATAAAACTGAACACCAGATGTGGTTGCAGGTTTTTAGGGCTACTTTGGCTTTAGTTGGGGGGTGGGGAGAGGGCCTATAAGGTGAAGGGCGACAGAAATGCCAGAGATTTGTTACTGATCCCAGCTAAACAAGGAGCCAATGAGGAGGGAAAAACTTGTACACACGCATTGTTCAGTAAGAAATGCGGACACTTGTCTCCCGAAGCAAACAGCGATAAGTCCGTGCACTCAGAAAATGAGACAAGTAACTCCACTGACTGGAATTCTAAAGAATATGAGAATTCAAAAAAGCAATGATGCGCTGCTTCTTCAGTTTGTCACTGATGTCACTGTCCCTAGACTTAACTTTTCCACTCAAATAGTAGCAAATGCAACAGTAAAACTGCTGTGTTGCCTGTCTGGGTAGTGGTTTGACAGCAGAGCTGACCCTTTGCAGAGACTGTGGACATTTCTGAATCCCTGCATCCAGGGGAAATGGTGGGAAACCCTCACAGAACCAGGAAAGGTGGGTCATTCACATCTTGAAAACCCTGAAGTCTCATCCTTATCTCTGTGTCAAGTCCTAAAGGGTCAGGGTCTGCCAAGATTCTATGGCAAAAGCAGTTGTTAAGTTATACGGAATTTGCCAAGAGGCAGTGAGGACAAAAATGTGTCAGCTGATTCCTAACGTAGCTTACAAACGCCCTGGGCATAATTCTGGAAGGCTTGCACAATCCCCACTACTTCCACCATCCTGTAAAGCCAGCTCGTATGACAGGAGGGACATGGTGACCAAATGTAGAAAACGCCTGGAGTACTCCACCACCTCCTTTTCCTTAGAAACTAGGTAATTGTCTAGCTTCACTAGATTAATGAAGCAAATTCCAGCTGCAGAAGTGAAGACAGAGGACCACTAATTACTAAGCAAAAGCTCAGCCAAGTGCATTGTCTCAACTCTAGCAACAAGCAGTAAATGAAAGCCTATCATTACTCCCATTTTACAGCCCAGGAAACCACAACTCAGGGGGATGAAAAAACTTACCAAAGGGCATGCATCTGGTTAGAAAGAGGCAGAAGGAGGCTTTAAACTCTGGCTCTTCCACCTGCCTCTAGGTGCAGCAATTTCCATTCTGAAGATGATGCTGACTAGAGGTCACCCCCCAATCCCCCAGAGCTGTAGAAAGCCAAGAGGCTCAAGGGCCTGACAAATTCTCCTGCGAGACTCAGCTTTGAATAATGGAGTTGCCTTTCCCAAATTCTTTTCAGGGGCCACCCACCCAGCACTAATGTCTGAGCCAGCTTTTGATTATGCCATGTCTGGGGCCACTCTACTGAGTTACAGGACAGTGGGAAGCAACAGGAGCTGTGTTCTGGCACCCCCAAAACTGGTTGTGCCTGAAGTTGGGAAATAGCTCCTTCATATAAGGCTCAGGTCTCTGGAAATCAGAGCCACCCAAGATTCTTCTACTCATCCCATCTCTCTTGTCTCAAATCCTCTTAGAGGAGTTCCCAGTGCTTACTAATCCCAAGAGAAAGCCAAAACAACTATGTTCCAACTACGTGTAAGGAAAAGATATTTAGCTTGGAAAGGGGCCAGATGCAAAGTACATCCCAAATGCTTCCCAGGTCTGCCTGATCCCCCACCCCCATGACACGAGTATTACCACAGGTCCTATGGACTCCAGAACTCTGCCAAGATTTGTTTTTATTTTTTCCCAGAACCCCACCAACTGGTCAGGGAGCTCTGCTACTTCCAGTATCCACAGCACAGACTCATTGTTTCAATCCCTTTCTGTTCTTAACTCTGCTCCCCTCCTCTCCACTTTGTTCCTGCTTCTTTTCCCCTCCTGTTTATCTAATCCCTATTCAATGCTAATAAGAGAGGAATGAACAGAATCCATGTGGAATTTTAGGGAGAGAGTGGAGTGTTATCCTAGTGGTCAGGTTGCTGCTGCCTTTTCTGCCCTATGGAATAAGGCCGTGCTTTCTGGAGGCAAAGGAAGAAAGGAGAAAAGGAAAAGGAAAAAGAAAAAAAAAGAGATTAAAAATTTAAAAAATGAAAAACGGGGAACTGTTATCTGTTAGGCAGTGAGGCGGAGCTCATTCAGATTGTATCCTTCCTGAACACCTGTGTTCAGAAAGCAAGACACTGAACCTTCATCAGGGGCCTCTGGGTCAGGTAGGACATACGAAAGAAATCCAAAAAGAGATACTTGCATTGTATTTGAAACCCTTCACTACACCTAGGTCAACATTTTGAAAGTCTGGATAATTATTCGGTAAGAGAAACTGTGTCTGTCAAAGCTAACCTATCTTGAAATACCAGCTGGGTGACTTGGGGAGCCTCAAGATCACCACAGGTACATTTTGTACATGGAGGAGAGAGGTTGGGCAAGGGAGTGTGGAACACTAGATTTTTAAAGTAAATCACTAAAAATACTAAATACTAAGCACAGAGAGCTGGATCTGAGACATGTAACAAGTCAAGCATACTCCTGGTGAAAAGGTGGAAGGCATCCAAAGCTGTAGTTCCTCCCCAATCACAGTCTTGCTGCTGACCTTCGAACTCAACTTAGGACACCTGTAGGGGATATGGAGTGACACCTTCACTTGTGCCTGTGTGGTATGCAATCAATCCACCACCATATACCTTGATTTTAGATGCTAAGAGGGCAATGAGATAGAATCAGAGAAAGTTGAACCTCTTGTTAAAAACCTTAGAGGCAAAAAAAAGTCTGAAGGAATCATCACTTAAAAAGCAAAAACAAAAACAAAAATCCTTAGAGAACATAGAGCTTATCCTCTTATGAGGAAAGAGAGGTTCTAAAGAGGAAGTGACTGCCTGGGGTTACAGGACCAGCCAACCCTAGAACCAGGAAGAATATGTTTTTCTTCCAAAGAAATACAAATTTCTGGCAGGGAAAAAAATACTCAAAATATTTTAAAAGCACACCTGAAAAAAGTATATTTAGGCACATCACAGTCTTCTGGTGGCTTTTGTGGGTTATTTCTGTAACCATTTACTGAAACTTCTGTGTGGTTCTGAATTCCAGAGAACTAACTGGTGGCTAAATTTTGGGCCAGCAACTTATTTTTAAGTTTGCAACAATCTGCTCCAGTGACCAATTTATTCCAAAGAAGGCAGTGGAGTAAGGACAAATCACTTGTATGATATAAACATCAACATCAGATTGAACTTACTCAGATTAAACCTAGGAAATGACTCACAAAGACTCACATTAGGTGATGTAAGTGAAATAGACAAAGCTGCAGAATAATACATATACTAGAATCTAATCTAAGTTAAAAACTTCAAGACTATAGTATATACTCATTCATCTACACTGCTGTATATAAAAATTAATACAAAAAGGAAAGATATAGAATAAAGTTAATTGATTCTCCACAAGTAGGAGAATACATTGTGTAATGGGAATGGAGCAGGGCCTTTAACATTTTATGTTAAACAGACTCCAAAGTCTAGTTTCTGTAAGAATTCACTCATGTATTTACTTACTTGTTAAGAAGCTGAAGCAGTCATTTTCAATTTCTACATAAATATCTATAGAGGATAATTTATATAGGGAGAAATAGTATCTCTATAAAGTGAGAGCCTGACATCTTCAGCAGTGTCTTTCAAAAGGAAGCCAGAATAGAGTTTCTGGAACTACAATATGCGGTTCTTTCTTTAATAATGTCTGATGGGGATTTACTTGAAAGTAAATTTGTGTCTACTACTCTCAATATACCCACAGTGCATTTCCAAATATGTCCTTCGTTTTAAAGAGAATTTCCGACCAGCTCACATTTAACATTGGATGGACAGCTTCACACATCACAAAGGTCAAACACATCCCCCAAGCTGGACCCCCTTCCTTCCCAACATGCCAGACCCCGTTCCTCCTCCTGCAATCCCGGCAGGGAACCAAACTTGTTGCTGAAGCTTCATGGGTGGTGGTGTAAAACATTACTAAGATATAGATGCTCACTGCAGAAACTTTCAAAAATGCAAGTGAACAAAGTTATCCATAATACCAGCATGTGGAGTTTTATTTAACATGACTTCTAAACATACCTGGATTTCTTTTAAAAATGTCAGATCTCACATTATCTGGTAAATTGCCTTTTCACTCAGCAATGGACCACATACATCTTTATGGGACGCTTTTAGCTACACCATAAAGATCTAACATTCAGGCACATGACAATTTACTTAATGTTCAAACAATGCACCGTTGTGCACACTTCTTTGAGTAGGTCCTTAATCCATTTCCTTAAAATAAATTCCTACATTTCACAGTTCCTAGAAGCAGGACAGCCGGATGAAAGCATATGCACCTCTCCATTTAGTTACCCTCTCCAGGTTGCCTGGGGAAGGCTGCACCAATTTCTTGACTTTTCTCTGAAACTGTGAATGGAGGTGCCTAAACAGGGTACTGTCATTTGTTTTCAGCTTTTGCTGAATCAAGAGATTAAAAGCTAATCTTGGGCATTTCTTTAATAACTAGTAAAAATGCATAGTTTCCCATCTGTTACACCTCTGAATTTCTTCCGTTGTAAACTGCTTGTCTGCTCAACAGTCCAGAGTAAATGACACTAAGATGGCCTCTGGGGGCCAAATGTCCTCATCTCTGAGGGGACTTGACTGAGCTATTAATGCAGGTGAGACTCAGCTCAGGAAAGGCTAGTACCACTACTGGCTGCTATCTGGTCTTGAGACACGCAGTGTACCAGGTTTTTTCTACATGAATGAGAGGTAGCCTGAAAATCTGTTGCATGATTTAAGACCATGCTCAGGGACATCTCAAACCTAATTGTTTATAGCAATTGTTTATAGCAGTTGTTTATAGGATATTTTGCTTAAATCAGGGGTAAAATCCCCACGTGGGCCAGTGAGTTTTG